GTTTGATCACACTCTTTCAAGTAAGGTTTAGAGCATTTATTAATATTTTTTTTCCACATAGTACGCGGGGAAAAAGACAGGCCGCTGCTGACAAATATCTAAGTTAGCTATGATCAGTCATGACCTACAAATCTTATAAAATCTATATTTATTAATATTATCGAAAAAAATCTATATATATTAAAGGAAAATAATTTATAACAAACTGTAAAAATCGCAGAAGAAATCATCGCAGGATTAAAAATAAGGGATGAAATTTTACAACGATATAGAAAAGTAAAATATTAATTACTATAAACAATACAAAGTTATGTATTAACTAAAGTGATTAATTTTTTAGATTCTGTGATTAGCAGTATTAATTAAAAGACATAATTAGTGCAATTAGGTCCAAATGGTGCAGCGCCTCTTAGATTGCTTGGAAATTATTTGAAGATAACTAGTGGAAGAATATTTGGTTAGTTATATATTTGAAATGGTATTTGTGAGAGAATATTAATGAATAATGATGAAACATAAGGTTAAGGTTGAGTTTAGTAGTAATGGAGAATGAATAAAAAAAGGTATCCTATTGGAAAGCATGAGGATGAGGATGAATTGAAAAGGTTGAGGTTACATGCATATAAGAAGGTTAGAATTGTAATGATTGAATAATAATTAGTGAGGTCTAAGAAAGAAGATACTGAACTCGGGGCCTTGAGAATGAGAAGTATTATGAGTATCAGGGTTAATCATATAGAAGGCTTCGGAATCCTTGGAGCCAAGGACCCTCTGGAAGCGAGCCCTCATGTAAGTCATTTCCCCATCACACTCCTTGTGATCAGAAGCGGAGGGGAGCACCCCAGCTCCCATGGAAACCCCTCGCAAATGCTGCATCACCTGGAGCTCATCGTCGCTCATCTGCTTCCGCCTGATGGAGTACCCAACCTTCCTCCCGTTGCAGTACACGCCCCAAACGAACTCTTCCAGAAGCTTCTTCTTGTTCGTCCTCGTCTCGCTCTCCAGCGCAATCCTCACTATGTCCGAACCCATCTCCTTGTTCAGGGCGCTCGCCAGCATCGGAAGCTCTATGAGGAATATCGGCATTTCACGCGTGTCCTCTTGTATGGCCAGACTCACCCTCCCCTTCCGGTAACCGAAGATCGTACCCGTCGTCGCACTGTCCTTCAGCATTTTCCTCGGCCTCCCCAACAGTGCCACCATTTTGCACCCCGAACTCAGCATCGGAAACAGCTTCAGCATTCTCAACAGCCCCCCTCCTCCGCTTCGCTTCTTATTCTCCCCCGTGCTGTGACGGAGCAGCGACGCTAAACCCGGGTTCACGTTCTCCATCCACTGCACCGGTCCCATTATACCATCTTAATTAACACAAAACTATTAGCTACTGACTCACTCATATGCATGTGTAATGACTAATGAGAGGGTTAGGATTTATAGCATAGGAATCTTTATATGATTAAAGGTTGATGTGACCAAGTTTTGTGAATTGGATGTGATAAGATAAGGCCCTAAGGGCAGGCTAGCTGGACGCTGGACCACGGGGTGGGGTTAATGAGGGAAGAAAAAATAACTCTACTCGCATGTGCCTCTCTGATCATTACTTTCGAGTATCAACGTCAATTGCTTTATGCTTTCTCAAACCTTCACCCATAATTATTCACATCCTTCCCTCCCCTAACTTACTTCTTCTTCTTCTTTTTTTAAATGTGTCAGACCATAGGTCGTATTCAACCATCCAAACTCTCTGTTAGGCGCTACAAATTATCAAGAGGCCCGCCCACTCTTTCTTTTCTTTCATTTCATGCCTTTATTTCCATTAATTCCACGCCAATGCCTTTTTTCAACATACCCCAGCTTGCAAAACACAATTTATACAATGCCCCCGACATTATTACGTCTAATTGCACCTAATTTTTACTTCACTTTTCATCACCATCCACTCTACATAAATACACCCCCAAAGCGTCTCATTAACTTCTTCCAAAACCACCTCCCATTTTTCATAATTGCAAAGTGCATCCTTTTAATGTCACATAACCAACTCTACGTACTTTCGTATATAAAATTCTCATCACCATCAATATACGCTGCTTCTCCATAGGGCAATAATTTTTCTACACCTACAGGCTACACCCTCAAAGCTAGCGTCTCATCAATTGGGCCAAAAGCAGCACACATGGATGATTATTCAATTGCAAAGTCAATCCATTCAATATAACATAACTAACTCTACCTTCGTACGTATTCATCACATCCTTAATTTCAACTAATATCTCCCCCACAAGTAAAAGATCATTAAAAAAAAAAAAAAAAACACTGGATCCAAAAACAACAAGAAGAGAAATCGAAGTGGCGCATGAAAAAATATTTATTTTCAAAATTAACAAATTGGGGTTAGTGTCGAAGGTGGGGGACCTTTCACGCGAAGAATGAAAAAAGAAGAGGCAACGTCGGCATCAGTCTGGTACCATGAGAGGTTGACAAGTAAGCACTGGAAATAATAAAGCTCCTTTTACGTGTGGCTCATTGGAATATGATTTGGGCATTCCTAATTTTTCTGCCCCTCATGTGCTTCTGTTTGATTGCATCATTCATGAGCAAGCTAGGTACTCAAATACAATAAATGCAAAAGGGAAAAATTAAATAAATTGCAGCCTAATTAATTAAGTTTACATATCATAATCAGGATTCAGGAGGGTGTGTATCAAGTAGTGGATTATTATGTTTTGATACGTTGCAGTGGATATACATGGACTTCAAATGTGGCCAGGAAAGAATTGAAGCCAGCTATACCATGGATTTGATAATCTTTGGTTAAATGGACCTACAAAACTACAAATTCCGGTGTACTGTTCCAGAGCAGTGACTGATTACCAGCCACTATGTTCTAAGTATGTCCTTACTTGGATCAAACATTGCAATGTTTATTCTCTGCCTTACACTTGCGTCCTTCTAATGTTTTCTTTTGGTTCTTATTTTCTTTCCAAGTGAAACATCAAGTTAGGCTAAACTTTGACATTATTATCCACACAAGAGCGGCAATTCCCGAATCAATGAATTAACCTAAAATAAATTATTCTTGATTGAGAGTGCCTTGGAATTATTGGGGGTAGTGATGGGATGGATGATTGTACACTACTTTTTTTTTTTGGTTTGTATTATGTGACAGGTTGAATTGCCTGTTGTTCATTTGGGAAGATAACATAACAGAAACATTTTACCAAAAAATACACTTTCTGGAAATAGCGAGAAGCTTTAGTGGCCAATATATGCTGGGTCTCAGATTTCACTGTAACAGCTTGCCAAAAAACCAGTCACAATCACGTCTTCGACACAATTTGCTCGTATCCTGTTCAAACTTAACATTCAATATTTCAATGGAAAAAGGTACCGTGAAATATAAAATAAAAGAGGTTCCACTCAACAACATTCAGATTAATAATACATCAAATTAATGATGAGCTAATCATACAGAAATCATTTTCTTTCTTCTTTTTTCTCATCTCAAACAAATAACAAAAATTAAATAACTTTTTATATCCTTCTTTTATATATATATTTCCTTCGACTCCATTTTTATTCAAACAAGCAGGGACAAGAATCCGTCTCAGGATGTAAATCTTCATCAAATGTATATATCTTTTACAAAATATTATGAAATCCTATTTATATTCAACGAAATTGTAATTTTATTGAATTATCAATTGTAAGTATTAAGCGTGTAATGTGCAGTTAGCATAAACCTTTAAACCGTAAACTACTATTTTAGTATATATGTACAACGGATAAATATTTTTAATATATATTATATAATAATTAAAAATCATAATAAATATTTATTTATAATTTATATTATTAATTTACAAATGAAAAATTAAATTATGATATGAGTTTTTCTTTTTTAAAAAATTATTGACAATTTGTTTTAAAAAATAATATCAAATTCAATAGTTGATCAAGTAACAAAAACAATCGTTTTTACCATTATTGTCGGCCTCATTGATTTGGGCTTTCACGAATCCATGTGATAATTTGAAGGCCGATGATATATACACCTTCATTTTTTTATGCATATACCCCTTTTTAAAAAAAAAATATTAAATTTCTAAATTATCCTTAATATTATTTGAAATAAAAAAAAATTATCCTAGAAATTTTTTTTCAGAGGTATATTTGTACATAATTATGGAAAGTTCTTTCCGGAATACTAAAATTACTATTCCAGAAATAACTTTCCGTATGAATAATTTTGAAAAGCACTTTCCGTAATACTAAAATTACTATTGCGAAAAGTTCTTTCCGGAATTATGGTAACAAATACACACACTGTTAATATTCCGGAAAGAATTTTTCGCAATAGTAATTCTAGTGTTACGGAAAGTATTTTCCATAATTATTTTGACGGAAAGTTATTTCTGGAATAGTAATTTTAGTATTTGGAAAGTACTTTCCGTAATTATTCTGACGGAAAGTTCTTTTCGGAAGGCTCATGATATATACACCTCCTGTTTTTTTTTATAAGTATACCTACTTTATTTTTAAAAAAAATTATAAAATATTACTTCGACTCCATTTTTATTCAAACAAGCAGGGACAAGAATCCGTCTCAGGATGTAAATCTTCATCAAATGTATATATCTTTTACAAAATATTATGAAATCCTATTTATATTCAACGAAATTGTAATTTTATTGAATTATCAATTGTAAGTATTAAGCGTGTAATGTGCAGTTAGCATAAACCTTTAAACCGTAAACTACTATTTTAGTATATATGTACAACGGATAAATATTTTTAATATATATTATATAATAATTAAAAATCATAATAAATATTTATTTATAATTTATATTATTAATTTACAAATGAAAAATTAAATTATGATATGAGTTTTTCTTTTTTAAAAAATTATTGACAATTTGTTTTAAAAAATAATATCAAATTCAATAGTTGATCAAGTAACAAAAACAATCGTTTTTACCATTATTGTCGGCCTCATTGATTTGGGCTTTCACGAATCCATGTGATAATTTGAAGGCCGATGATATATACACCTTCATTTTTTTATGCATATACCCCTTTTTAAAAAAAAAATATTAAATTTCTAAATTATCCTTAATATTATTTGAAATAAAAAAAAATTATCCTAGAAATTTTTTTTCAGAGGTATATTTGTACATAATTATGGAAAGTTCTTTCCGGAATACTAAAATTACTATTCCAGAAATAACTTTCCGTATGAATAATTTTGAAAAGCACTTTCCGTAATACTAAAATTACTATTGCGAAAAGTTCTTTCCGGAATTATGGTAACAAATACACACACTGTTAATATTCCGGAAAGAATTTTTCGCAATAGTAATTCTAGTGTTACGGAAAGTATTTTCCATAATTATTTTGACGGAAAGTTATTTCTGGAATAGTAATTTTAGTATTTGGAAAGTACTTTCCGTAATTATTCTGACGGAAAGTTCTTTTCGGAAGGCTCATGATATATACACCTCCTGTTTTTTTTTATAAGTATACCTACTTTATTTTTAAAAAAAATTATAAAATATTATATATATATATATATATATTTTAATTTTATACCTTTAACTTTCAATTTTCTACTTTTTTCTTTTTTTTTCACTCACTTTTTTTTTCTCTTTCAATTTTTACATGCTACCAAAATAGGTAGGGTGAAGGAAAGATAACGGGGTGCATGTAAAAATTGAAAAAATAAAAAAAGAAGAAAAAAGAAAGATCTGTTAAAAAAAGAGTACTAAATTAAATGTTGTGAATGTAAAATAATAATAATAAAAAGAACAAAAAATTAAAAATATTTTAAAATTTTAATTATTTTTTTTGAAAAGGAGGTGTACTTATAGGATAAAGGAGGTGTATATATCATTTGAAAAAAACTTTCCAGAATAATTTTTTTTTTATTTCAAATAATATTAAAGATAATTTAAAATTTTAATATTTTTTTTTAAAATGAAAAGGAATACATGTATAAAAAAATGGAAGTGTATATATCATCAACCTAATTTGAACAAGGCCTGTTACAATATCACCACTGGGTGTGGAGACTTCAAGCCTAATTGCGGCCCGTTAAAGCAACAATAGTGGACTACGGCCTGTTACAATATCCGTTGTTTTGCATAGATGTTGGTAGGTTGATGATATATACACCTCCTTTTTTTTATAAGTATACTTCCTTTTAAAAAATAATTAAATTTTTAAAAAAAAAATAATTTTTTTTAATTTTACACCTACAACATTTTATTTAGTATCTTTTTTCACACATTTTTCCTTTTTTTTTCTTTTTCAATTTTTACATGTACTCTCTTACATTTCTTTCACCCTACCTATTTTATTAATATGTGAAAATTGAAAGAGAACAAAAAGTGTATG